GCCGGGCCTTTACCTGCAACCGCCCCCCCCCCCCCCCCGCTCCCGGGCTTTTTTGCAAAAAGGTTGCCATTTTGAGCTGAACAGAAGCTAATGTAGAGGAAAGTTTGGGTTATAACGAGACCACTCCCAGCTCTGCACGACCTTCCTTGAAAAACGTGAATAACATTTGTACGACTACCTTAACTATATTCATTATTTTATTTAATAATGTAGAAGCTTTCAACTCAGACTAGAGTCATGTTGAAAGCTTCTATATTTTTAAACAAGATACTGAATATAGTTAAGGTAGTCGTACAAATATTATTCACGTTTACCAACGTTTTCTCAACAAATAATATTAGTATCCTTGAAAAACGTATGAAGCTTTTAAGTTTTTTCTCCAAAGCCTAGAAAATCTCCATTTTTTAGTTTCGTAAATTTTTCTCTCCTTTCCTATATAATCAAAACTTTTTCTTATAAATAGTCTGATAGAAGAAACTGTGTTCTTCAAAATGAGACGTCTTACAGAATTTTCCGATGAGTTTTGGTGGAGATATAATCATCACTGCAAATGTCCAGAAAAAAGCAACCCTGTGTGCAATATGTGTTTTTCTCACTGTACGTTTTTTCTATAGTTCCTTCAATCCAGTCACAGTACGACCCCTCGAACAAATGGTTCGATCGAGCTTAAATTTTTACCACAGATATTTCAGACCCTGTCGCAGGAGTAAAATTCTTTTAAAGCGTTTTCGATTTCAACTTTCGGTGTGATACGGTTTTTAAAATCAAAAACCGGTTTTCTATACGGGATTTTCAGTTTTTTTCGAATATCTCGAGAAGGAAAGCATATTTTTCGAAAAGAATACTTTTACTCCTTAGATAAGGTCTAAAGTATCTGTGGTACAAATTTTAGCTCGATCGGATCATTTTTTCAAGGGGTCCTAATGTGACTGGATGAAAACTGGAGTTTTCCAGAAAATCCATAGAAGAACATTCCAGAAATTCTAGGCAAAAATACTTCAATTTTCTTTTGCGACGTTCTATCTCTGGTATAAATTTGAGTTCAATCGGACGTGTGTTTTTGGCAACAAGATGAAAACAGAGGGGGAGGGGACCCTTAAACGCTGATACCGAAAATTCTTTAGTGCTATTGAAATTATTGGTCCTCATTTGACCCCACTTTAAGGGATCGTGTTTTGCTATGCAGAACAGTTGACTTTAAGACAACTTTTTGTGGCAGACATTAGTTCAGAAAAATTTCTTTATAAGAGGTTTTCCACGAAGTCTTTGGAAAAATATATCATAGCCACAAAACTTCATGTGCGAAAATTGACATTATTTTTTATGAGTAAATTTAGGCAATCCAAAGCCTTCGCTTCAGAATAGGGGTCAAGTCAGGCCTGGATTTTTAGTGTTTCGAAAGTGGTATCGGATTTTCTTGGCGTCTCAGACCTGATACCTGGTGCCGTAGTGTGACATTGACATCGCCTGAAACAAACGTATTCGACCAACCTGAATCTAGTAACAACGGTTTTTTCGAAAATAAACGCAAAAAGCCTGCTAGAAAGAGAGTTTTATTTTTCCAGGCTGTGTTTATTTAAAAATATTAAAAAGTTCAGAGCCCACTCGGAAAACATCAGAACGAGTTGATGATCATACGAGCAGATAATCACAAGTTGATATGCAGTATTTAGACTATCCTGGACTCTATTTATACTAAATCTGTGAACAAATTACAAAACCGTGTGGTTTTCCTGAAGGGTTTTGAAGAACGCTTTGGAACAAAAACATGATTTTTCACTTTCCTCGATGATATAATCATGTTTCGAACAAGAATTGACTATGTCGTGGTGTTTTTCAGCTCGTTCTCATGCTTTTCGAGTGAGTTATTAGGTTAAATGTCAAAGTTACACTGAGTCGCAACAATCTTGTAGTAAACTAGCAGAGCAGCATGCTTACTGCAAAGACAGATCAATGCGCGAGAAGGAAAAATAGCCTGAAGTTTTTACTACAAAGCGGTAAGAAACGCAAGTCGCTGGAACTTTCCATCCTAGTCAACGTGAAATTGAATGTTGCTGAATGTTTTCCAAACCCAAATGACATGCTCTTGAAATTAATACCACAGAGTAGCTCTTAGTTAGTTTACAAGCGTGCACCAGGAACATTAATTCTTCGCGGGTTTACATCTCTTTTCAAGATATACCAAGTGCGTTGGGTGTAAAATCCGATTATGGTCCATTGTTATGGCTCATCTTGATTCTTAGCGTACTTCCTATACCATTTTGGATATTACATCGAAAATATCCCGATGTTAAATTTTTCAAATACGTACACATTCCATTGATGTTTGTAACATTTCTTCCAGTGGTTTATTATAATACGCTCGCCGAGTATCCGTGCTGGTTATTAATAGGATTCATTTTTCACTCAGCTATAAAAAAATGGTGGTGGGAGCGGTATGCACTTTTGTTTTCAATTGCAATGGACATAGGCATTCAGATAACTTTATTTTTTCTCTATTTTATTTTTTCTAATCGTAATGTATCTTTTCCAACATGGTGGGGCACTGGTGGAGATTTTTCAAATGGGTGCCCGATGTCGTACACAAATTATTATGGTAATTATTTAAAATGAACTTTGCCAGGTTTATGGTGGCATGGACCATTTCCATTCATGATCTAGGGCGCCTTCCAACCCTTAAAGAAAAAATCATTTGGCATAACTATAACTGATTTGCTTTATCTATCAACAAAGTGAATTGGTCTGGCATTGTACGATTGATCAAAAACACCATCCAAAACAAAGTTTTAAATAAAGAAAATCTGAGAACATTCGATCAGCTATATCGATTAAAAAAGGCAGTGACAGCCGAGAAAATGTTATATTCCTAGTAATATAACGTTTTCTCGGCTGTCACTGCCTTTGCTCGCGATACTGAAATTTTTTTGAAATATGCTGAATCCCCATGCTTGATAAGAAAGTAAGAGGAGAAAACCAAGGGGAAACAACTTGAGTCATATACCGATCGATAGGGCTTGAAAAGGAAGAAAATATTTTCAGACTTGTAACACACACAAAAACATAGTCTTCTCAAATTGTAGTAAAGACTCAACTCTTTAGAACATATACATGAGTTTATTATGGATTCACAGTTTCTAGAGAAATGAACATCACTAATGACGTTTTCTCATCATGCGAGATTGAACGGATCATAACTTAGCCAACTCTAAATTAATTTTTGTCGAGAGCCCAGAGAGACTTTGCCAGTCGATCGAGTATCTTTGCCAAAGATCGGTCACGAGTGAAAGATTCACATATACTTTTCATTTTATATTCGGATTCTACTATCAAAACTGGAGTGATGAAAAATATGAAAAAACTTTCTGACTTATTCTGGCTGAGTTATAGAATTTACAAAATGAGCACCATCGTCGATTTGCGAAAAGTAGTCATTTCTGATATTTTGACTATAACTCCGTCCTTTTTTGTCTGCTTTTTTCAAGCAACATTTCCTTCCAAAGTCTGATAAAAAGTAAACAAAATCACATAGTTGCTAATTTTTCTGAAGTAGAAAGTGACTGTTTAAAACCCGCATTAATTGGAGAACTGGAATTTTGAAAGGTCAACATTGTCGAGAAAATGCCATTTTGATCCTCCAAACAGAGTTTCTCTAACAATTCGAAGGTCATATGCGACAGAGAATTCAGTTTTGCACAAACTGAGCGGAAAAAGTTTATTGTAAAAGTAGAACCATCGAATTGCTGTGTTTCTACTGATTGCCATTTCATATTTGCTATTTGATTATACATGTGCATTTCTTAACAGCGAAGTCAGAAATTCAATTTTGGTATTGGAAAGGGGACACAATCATACTACTAATCTAGATCGTAAACAATTCAATAGACAATCGTGGACACATGTTGTATTGATAACAATTGCCGTTGCATTGGTGTTGGTCTTATTGTATTACTAGTTGGTTTTGTTTATTTTTATAAAAGATTTAGACAATTACGATGCCACATAACCGATTGAAATCATCGAGTGTTAAAAAATTTGAATCAAACAAATATCAATAAACCACATCCTGGTAAAAGCTTATTGAATACATTGGAACTTACTGATTATGCACCAGATAAAAATGAACAAACACCATCATCATCGGCAAGATCAAAATTAACTAAAGTTGAATTAGAACAAATATTTATAATAAATGAATTCAATGAAACCATCGATTGATAGTTTAAGCTTATTTAGTCGTAAAGAAACGCTCGTTTTTTCATTTCACAGTTTTTTCTTGTAGATTTTCGTGAATTAAAATATATTTATGATTAAGGTGCACTGTCACCAAAACGCGTTAAAGTATATAGTTCTACTCCGTCTACAAGAAAAATAACTACCATCATCTCCTATTATCCATTCGTTCATTCATCTACAGCCAGAACGATTCAGCTTTTAAAAGCTGCTTTGATTTTTCATAGAGAGAGAGAGAGAAAGCTGGCGTGGAAGATGAAAAATATAAGCCCTTCGTTTTGTCATAAAGTGGAACCCTCTTTCCTAGTAAAAAACCTACACCTTTCCTGACAGGATACTAGAAGAACCGTTCTTAACCAGTAAAAACCATATTAACCGTACAAATTCAACATTATTCTTCTTGACATAAGCGATATGTTACCCTCCCCTCTTTCTGAGCTTTCAGCAGAAATGCCAATCGAAACGTTTAGTATTAAGCTCATAAGACCTGCTGCCAGGCTTCGTTAAGCTTCCTATTAACATATCTAGCACAGCTTTTCAAGGCGCTACGAATGGTATATGAATGACTACAGATCTTCCTTACTTTCATATAAAAATGAACAAAGTTCCATAGACACAGCAGCTACCCAGGAAACAGTCTATTATCCGTTCCAGAAGTTAAGGCACTCGGTTGTTTTTTGAATAACTTTTGATAAGAACAAGATGAAGGCCTGCGGTTTTTGCCATTCGAAAGAGGAGACTTGGATGCATGTTTTCATAACCAATATCATCTTCAGACGAGTTTTTTGAAATAGGTTTCCTAGGAGATCTTTGGAAACCTACGTCGTCTGTAAAGATTCTCCAATAGGATTGTATTGCTTTTTTCTTATGGACTGATAGCTTAGGGTGTCCTCTTCAAAATGGGAGTAAAGTGAGATTTGATTTACCAGTTTTACGAAAATCAGGGTTTTCAGGCTGTTTTCAGCTAATATTAAAAAATTCACTATTCACTTAAAAAATATCCGAACAAGCTCAAATTCGTAAGATATGATTAATGTTGTCGGCTAAATGTGATTAAAAGATCGAAAAGATCTAAAAGCATATTTTTGTTAATAGGTTTTCCAGAAACCCTTTTGGAAAATCTAAGAGCTCTTTAAAATTTATTTCTAGATCTCCTACGAATAGGACATAGAATAGCTTAAAAACCCTGCATTCTGAAGTTTTAAATATCGATCTTTTAATCACATTTAGCATGATTATTTTCAGGTTATAGTCAGGCCACATGTGGTGCCAAAACTAGCAAACAACGTGGAGCGCCCTCGCTTAGCCTAAGGAGCGATTTTTCTTGATACAAACGAGTTTTAGCGTATCGGATAATTATGTCAGAATACTCTGACAGAATCGTTATATACAGAGATATATATCTGATATAGTTGCCATAATAACTCTGCTGATGGTGGTGACTTGACGTCAGAATAAATTTTAAATTTTAAATTAATAATTAATTTGTGCTGTAAAATAAATATTATATCAGAATAATCCATCAATATGATAAAATATAACTAAAGGATCTTTGGTGGAGTAAGGAGCAAAAATTCAAAATTTCTTTATACCCAGGTTGCTTTCTCGCCCGAGTAAACCACGGTGCAATCAGGTACAGTTTGGACTAATGAACTTTGCACTACAACCTTGATTTCAGCGCAGCCATTTCATGCAATGTGTGACGAAAGTGCCGACCTATTTAAAAAACCAGACACTTTCGTCACGTAACGGATTAACTTTCGCAACCACCATTCAAACATGGTAAAACTTTCGTCACATGCCGAAAGAATTTTTGTCACTGAAAACAGAACTTTCGTCATGTGATGAAAGTTCAGCGTTACCCGATGACGAAAGTGCTGTGAAACGATTCGCATCGCTGTCAGATAGTATTTGCACTGATATGTTTTTTGAAGGGTTTTTATTCTATTGCTCTGTCTGCTATTGCTATATATCAGTCCATAATATGAGTGTAGATTACATCGTAAAATCGTCCCAAAAGTGAGGTTTCTAAAACTTCTAGGATAATATTTATATCATTGAATTCTCACTTTTCCCCTCAAATTGCTGATTCCGCACTTTAAGGGCCCCCCCCCCCCTCAGAAAAAACTTTTTTGTCTTACATCCGATTTTGATTAAACTTTCAGCAAATGTTCGCCGTATCAAAGTGTGGTTATGAAATTTTTTTTACCTCGCTATCTCTTACGGTTCCGGTGTTTTCCAGAGTCCAAGGTCAAAAACCCATCCTCCAGTATAGAACCCTTTTTTTAAATATACTTCAAGCTAGAGATCTCGGATTGGTTTTATTTTAAACTAGACACCTAACTGCGTGAGGTGCTGGGACCCGATTTTTGAATCAGGCTTTCCTTTTCTAGAAAATCAAGAATCTCTGGAAAACCTTTAAATGTTTTTCGGGTTTTTGAGGATCTTCGATCTCTAGAAAACTAACGAAGACCTAAATCAAAAATCGAGTCCCAGCACTTCACGCAGTTAGGTGTCTAGTTTAAAATAAAACCAAGAGATCTCTAGTTTGAAGTATATTTAAAAAAGGGTTCCACACTGGGCATGTTCGAACAAAAAACGTGTTTTGAGAAAAACGCCAAAATAGAACTCCCGTTGGTGTTTTTTGAATAACTTTTGATAGAAAGCAGCTAGAGAGCTCCGATTTTTTCCACGCGAAAGAAGAGACTTGTAGGCATGTTTCCACAAGCATAATTATTTTCTGAAGAGTTTTCTAAAACAGGTTTTCTAGGAGATCTTTGAAAAACCAGATCGTGTGTAAACATTTTCGAATAGGGTGCCAGTTCTTAGAATCTGGCGGAAAGGGAGTCTTACGGAAATTGAGGTTTTCAGGCTGTTGTCACCTAGTATTACTTTTTTCACCCAATATTACTACTACTACTTCAAAATACTTCAGAACGAGTTCAAAACTTTAGGATATGATTACCCGCTAAACATTACTATAAGATCGAAAAAATCGCAAAAGCATATTTTTGTAATGATGTTCCAGAAATCCTTTCGGAAAGCCTTAGAGTTCTTAAAATCTCTTTCTAGATCTCCTGTAAATAGAATATAGAATAGCCTAAATCCTTTACATTCTGAAGTTTTGAACTCGTTCTGATATATTTTGATTGAATAGTGAATTTTTAAATATTAGGCGAAAACAACCTGAAAACCCCAGTCTTCGTAAAACTCCCTTTCCGCCAGATTCTAAGAACTTTTCCTAAAAATAAATATTTGCACGAGACTCAGCATGATTAAACACCCATAGTCCATTCGATTTCAAGGCTACCCACAGTCACCAGGTGCCAGCCCTGGAACTCGTAGGAAATCTGATACAACGCCCGAGCCGCGGAAAATCAAGGTCTCCCTTGACTTTCATTTGCTTGATTTTCCAATTGGTTCGCTGTCGATATTTCCATCAGATATAAAAGACTATGGTTGTCATAAAGAATCCATCAAGTTACCTTTAGAAGACTTTATCAATGTTTTCTAATAAAAAGCAGTTTCTAATTTTTGCCGTTTATTTTCAATATGTATTCATGCTGTGTAGGCTTGTTTTTTAATAAAATTTACGAATAACACATTGTTTTTTCCATCTGAATTAAACAGTTTATTGAAAAAAGTGCTTTTTTGCATAGAAGCCATTTTTACGGAAAAGCAGATGAACTGTTTGTGTTGGCCTGAAGAAATACCGGAAAAGCTGCTCTAAAATTCGCGCCATATACATAGATGGCGTCATGTGCACTTCTATATGTCGCCACATGCACTATTAGATGCATCTCGATAAGTACTTCCATTTCAAATATAATATACCTGTGTTTCATGTCAACTACAAGTAAAACCTGCTGTAGGCGGCGCCACCTGCGCCATTGGATGCAGCTGGATGAGTACTTTCCATTCATATGTAATATGTCTGTGTTTTATGCCAAATACAAGCATTAGGTTGAAAAAATATGTTCTCCATAGGGCGATCTCCAGAAAACCTCTGAAAGCCCCCTCAAAAACCATTCGTATTGTGTTAAATCATATATATTCTGAAAGTAGACACTTCAGGCTATCTTTTCATGAGCTTATCTCAAAATCGATTTATTGACCGAAAATCATCATTTCTGAGGGGGGGGGGGNCCCCCCCCCCCCCCCCCCCCCCCCCCCCCCCCCCCCCCCCCCCCCCCCCCCCCCCCCCCCTTAAAGAGTTAATCAAGGAACGTTTGCTTTATATTTATAATATGTTGAAAAGTATTGTAATAAAGCACTGAGAATCTACGAGTAGAAATGTTCTTCCCGCAACGTTAAAGACCGAGAAGAACGTTCACAAAGGCATGTGCTTCAGGAAAATAGTTTCAATAGTAACTATCGTACTAGAAACATATTGCAGCATACAGTCATATATTCCCAGTTCGAATAATTGAAATTAAAGAACAAAGATGAGAAATACTAAACTGTTAATTAAAATGATGAATGATATTGTATAAAAGACATTATTCGTCAAGAGTCGATAAAAGTTTTCCTTATTTGTATCAGGATGGTAATAAACGAAGACTTTTCTTCTTTTTTTTGTTATATAGGCAAGGTAATGATATGGTTTATTTTGTAAGTTGCAAGAATAAATACCAGATCATCAGCATTGGCCCAGCATGACGTCTACACCAGGTGCCAACGGATCGGCAGCTGTCGTAGCTACATCTACTTTACCGTCTTTGTTGAAGTCAGCTTTTGTTAGTGAAATTGATCCTGGCGTAATGCCGATTACAGACGTTACTTGTCCCTGAAATGTCCCATCACCATTTCCGGCAAGTATACCAACAACTTGAGTAGTAGGGGGAATACTTATAGGTGCAGTACTTATAACGGCCAGATCTACATAACCATCGGCGTTAAAGTCGCCTGAGATTACCTGTTGAGGCGCTGCCAAGATCGGATAGTCAACTCCAGACGTAAATGTTCCGTCGCCTTTGTTTAGCAAGACGGTTATAGAGCCTGAACCGCCTGTGTTCGCAGCTGCCAAATCCAGATAACCGTCACCATTAAAATCATTAGCTGTCACATAATGCGGAATTGAACCAACTGAATATTGCGTCTGTATTCCAAATGCACCTGTACCATCGCCCAAAAGCACACCAATCGAACCCGTAAGTACGTTCACATTTGTCACGATCAAATCGAGTTTCTGGTCGTTATTTATATCAGCTGCAATTACCGCGTAGGGTAAAGTGCCAACTTGATATTCCACTTGTTGATTGAATGCCCCAGTCCCATCGGCTTTGTTAATGAAAACACCAACAGTACCGGTGGTAAAGGCGACACCAACGGGATTGATAACTGCCAAATCAGGATAACTATCACTGTTTAACAAGGCAGCAACGATCGACGTTGTTCCAATTGCAGTTGTATAAGCTGGCGAGGTTGGATAAGCTGTAAATGTCCCACTTCCGCCATTTTTGAAAAGTGACACTTTTTGACTGAGTAGATCTGCAATGGCTATATCCATATCACCATCCTTGTCAAAGTCTTCTGCCGTAAGCGAATTTGGTTTTGATACTAGCGTTGAACCAGTCGAATATTTCATCCCGTACGATGGAAATCCTCCAGTCTGGTCATTCAGTAGAATAGCAAAGGATCCCGCAACATTTGCCACAGCAATATCGCTATAAGAGTCACCATTAAAATCGCTTGATATCGTAAAAACTGGTGTGCCCAGATCAAGAAGAGAAGTACCACTTGCATAGTTCTGCGAAGCACCAAACGTACAAGCTGAAAAGAATTACGAACGTAGTGAACTTCTCTCCTTCTTAAATCCTTTTCTGGTCGCTGATTAGTAAGAAAGATTAATGCGAAACTTTTTTCCAATACGTTGTTGAAAAAGAGTTAAACTTCGGTACCCTGATCTTAGGAGGACTACTAAGCTACTAGCAGAAAACATCAGAACGTAAGAAAACTGTTGTTATTAATAATATTTGTGTATTCTAGTGTTGTATCCATTTCCTGTCATGAATATTCTCTATTGAAGAAAGTTTTCGACAGGACATTTTTCTCAGAAAATCTAACTATTGTATCACCTGCTTTTGCTGCTTTTCTCGATGTTGTCTCTATCACAGAACTAGAAGTGGTAGTTTGGGTACTGGCAGAAGATGTTGTCAATGGTAAACTAGTACTAGAGGTAACTACGACGATGCTTGTACTCTGTGTCGTAATTGATGTGGAGGCAATAAGATTGCTTGTTGTCAATGGTAAACTAGTACTGGAGGTAACTACGGCGATGCTTGTACTCTGTGTCGTAGTTGATGCAGAGACAATAAGATTGCTTGTTGATGTCGACAAACCTGTCGAGATAGTTGTCGAGGACGTCAACAAAGTTGTATTAAGACCTGGTGTTGTTTCAGTTATAACTAGAGCAAAAAACCAATAATTAGATGTTATCAAATGTCAGCAGCTTCGCTAAAACAGTGAAGGCAGTGAATCTCAGAGATGGACAACTAAGCTAAGTTCAACTCCAACTCTAACTCTAACTCCGCTTGGACTCGTATAGGAACTTATTTTGTCTTGATTAATTTTCCTCTTTATTTTATTAGCTGTTGTTTACTTTGCTCTTGTTTACGAGAGTTCACACAAAAAAAGTCATTTTAACAATTCAATAAAACCAGGAAAAACTAGTCAGACTTGTAAAAATTTTCAACTGGAGTTGTGGAGTCAAAGTTGAAAAAATCTGAACTCAACTGAACTCTAATCTAATAAAAACGCAACTCTAACTCTACTCCAACTCCACTGAAAAGAAAGTCAACCCAGAAGTTGGAATTACCCATCTCAGATTGACTGACGAATTTTGACCGCGTGCTTGAATCTGGAAACAGTGTTGAGAATCCTTTCCTATGGAAAGAAAACGTTATGTAGATTGAGCTGATGATCAAATGCATCAGCGATCCACGTCAACGAATTGTGTAATTTCAAAGCATACATGAAGATATGACTACAAAACGCGTTCAATTCCGCACCAAGGTAACTTTAAAGTATTCATCTATAGACACATTAATAACATATGAAAAACACTTATTGTTATTTTTACATTGATTAATTTTCTTTGATTCTGACACGTAGTGCCATGTAAGCCACTTTTCCTGACAGATGCACGACTTCAGTCGCATATATTCTAGTGTGAAGGTTTCTGAGCAACAGAGTGTATCCTATACGTATGGAGTCTCTTAATGAGTGTGACCTGGAAAATAAACGTTTATGTTATAGAAACTACTGTTTTTGTTTTAAATTCGATCATATTCCACTAAACTGAATCCAAATTTCAGTTAACGATCATATACTAAAACCTTTTTACAACTATCACATGTGTAAAATAAACAAGTCAAATAACGCGAACAAACCGGAAAAACTTAGTTGAAAACGTAACCGATCAATACCCACCGACCACTTAGATCATAAACCTCTACTTCTACCACGACCATGTCAAAATCCAACTTTTCCATACAATCTCAAAACACGCGTGCATGACTTCAGCCACTACTTACTTTCTTTCCTTTTTCTCTCAGAAAAAAGCTAACGTGAAAACTAAAGATTCTCTAACACTAGTCGCAACAAGTGGGTCATTTCTGACACAAACCGAAAACCGAGCGCAATATAAGCTCTTCATTGAATTCCTCAAAATGTCAAACAACTTTCTATTAATACACAAAGTTTTCGTGTGAACCCAACTAAACAGCTTTCACACAAAGACCTACAAATGACAAAAGCAAAAAGAAAGACAGACTACTAATTAACTAGTGAGGTTTACTGAAGCCGAGCAATGGGAGGATCAACGTCTAAATTGAATAGATACTTTAATGTTCATCTAGTCTTTCCACTCGACGAACGTTAATACTTGACTGTGGACGAGATAAAACGA